AGTAAAGGCAGTGGGCCTGATGAGTAATAGCAGGTGATTTGAGAGGGATGGATAAATTGCAGATGGTGCTTTTTGGCTGTCAACAAAGCCAGGCTGTTTTCCGAGAGAAGATCTATTAGCACAAATGCGAGCATGCCACAGCTCTCTCCCTTCCTGCCATGCTCTCTCACGGCATCTCACTTTTGCTCTCTCCCTGTCATGCTTTGTCATTTTATTTTCTCAGTTCCTCTCCTTGCGTTTGCTCGCTTTCTCACTCATGCACACATGCCCAAACATGCTAGTTGAAGGGGATGAAGGAAAGCAAATAGCTTCATATCAGTATTTAAATATAAGTATGTGGAAGTTTCACCCCCAGAAACGGGCCATTCTGGTACAAATGTCATCTGCGTTTGATGAGAGTGCAGCTTCACGATGATATCAACCAGCTCGAGAGGCAGAATTAACAGCTTGCATTCCTGCCCTTTTAATCCTGCACTTTTCTGACTAAAATCAAAGCAATTTAGATGCAATTTTTCTTTATTTTGTGCTAAACTCACATAATTCTGTAACACTTCACAATTTGCTCTCATTTAGTTAATGCGTTAGAACTAAGATTGAGCAATATATTTTATATCTTTGTTGATGTATATGTATATAAAAATACAATTGCTCATTCATGTTAGTTCAGTTCATAAAATGACAATGTTCATGAACTATTATCAGTTCTATTATCAGTTCAACTATTTACAGATTTAACTTTTGATCTAAATTATGTATTGTAATGTTGAAATTAACATGATTAAAAATTAAAATGTTGTCATCATTTACTCACGCTCATGTCGTTCCAAACCTGTATGAGGTTCTTTCTTATGTTGAACATAAAAAAAGGTATTTTGAAGAATGCTGGTAATCAAAACAGTTGATGGTCCCCATAGACTTCTTTCCCTACTATGGAAGGCAGTGGGGACCAACAACTGTTTGGTTAATCAAAAATCTTCAAAATATCTTCTTTTTTGTTCAACATAAGGAAGAAACTTATACAGGTTTGGAACGACATGAGCGTGAGTAAATGATGACAACGTTTTAATTTTTGGGTGAACTATTCCTTAACGTAGAAGTATTGTTCGTTGTTAGTTCATGTTAACTAATGTTAACAAATGAGTCCTTATTGTGAACTGTTACCAATGCTTCTTCCATAGTTCAAATTTTTCTTGTTAGCTTGTAATGTTTAATACAATAGGCCATCGTAATTCACAATAAAAGAGAATTTAAAAACGCATAATAAAGAATAAATGCACAAGAACAAACATTTCATTTTTATTATTATTAATAATTTTTGCTTTGTTTACAATGTTCTGAGTTATAAATTGTTGCCTCATTTAGTTAATCCAAGAAAGATAAACATTCTGCATTATTATTGCCCTATTTATTATTTTTATTATTATTATTTCTTGGCACTTAGCTTGTTCTGTTTAATGTTTTTAACGACCTATGAATGAGTTATCATAAAAGTGAAAGCACAAGTGCAATATAGAGATTGTAGAAATAAAGGAAGCTGCAATTTTTTTCTTTTTACTTATCAGTCCTCTCCGCATTCGATTATATAGCACAGCTGATCTTATTTTGGATGTACAGCATAAATCATAAGGGTACTAAGAGTGAACTATAAATGGAGTTAAATAGTTGACTCAGAAATTGCACACCACTACAAAATGGCCTCAACTCATTTATAATGAACTACGTATAGGGAATACCAACTGATTTGAACACTGATTTTTTTGTTTTCTAACATTTCTCTTCTAGAAGTTGGAAGAGGCAGTTGTTTACCTGAATATGTTTATTTAGTCAAAGACAGTTCACTTAACTTTTCAACTAATCTTACCTCTCCAGTATCTCTCCTTTCATCCACATGCACATTTAGTTACATGGGTTGGTGTCACTCACGTTTTGCAGAGATGATCAGATCGTATTGTCAAGAGAAGCCTTGACGTGAGCAGTGTGCTCAGCTTTGATAATTTAATTATAAATGGGATCAGCCATAACAGTCCTCAAGTGGTGATTAATAGAAAAGATAATGAGTGATTAATTACCGTGGTGCCATCAGGGCCCATTTGAGCGGAAGTCATTGAAGAGACCTCTTTGTGTCAGTGCTGAATAGACACCCCCACAGAGACAGCGTTGTCGGCCCCATATGTGCACCAAGGACGTCGCCACCTTCTTGTATTTTAGGTTTGGCATGGACACAGGATGAAGTTCATTCTGTGATTTCTGAGGTTGAACTGACTTTCAGAGATTCATAATAAACCACTAATGTATGTGTTTGGTGACATGATGTTATTGGCCCAATTATCATCTTTAAAATCTTTTAGAGAACGTATTAATCTGAATGCCTTTCTGAGAGACTGTTGATATTTCATTATTACATTTACATTGTAATCAAAATCAACTTGCATTGTATTTAAGGTATCAGTTTATGCTCTACCCTGGGAATCGAACCCATGACCTTGTCATTGCTAGCACCATGTTTCCACAGTTTGAGCTACAGGAAGTAGGACCGTCTTTCATGTTCATTTTTCAGAATCAGATTGAGTTTTGAAGATCTGTTGCAGTGGTTGAAGATTCATGATCTTGAAAGCATTCAGTGAGATGTCTAACTATGTAATGATACATGTTGCCATTGTTAGAAGATTAGTTAGCATGTGGAAAGCTTGCAGATGAGTAAGTAGTACACAGTGTGTTCATAGGAATTGAATGTTCACTTCAGTTCAAAGTGCAAAGCTTCTTAGTTTGCCTCATTTTAACCATTAGTCACTTTTGAGTGCTATAATCAAGGCACTTAAAGGCATGCACTAGTGTTCCCATTTTATGTGTTTTTTTTGTAGTGAATTATATACAAAGAGAAGTACTGCTATTTACCACTGTTTTTTTATTAAGTTTTTCTCTCTCTTTGAGATTACCATTTACCATGCTCCTGCAGGTTTGAAAAAAAAATTAGTTTTGTTTCCAATTAAGGATTTATTTTTTTTTATTTAAAAAAATCATGAGATTGTCTTTTGAACATTACCCTAAAATATAATATAAACTCATATTTTATTACTTTTATTTTACTTTTATTACTTTATTCAGTTTGAACCAGCTCTAAACAGTCATTTGTTTGTGATTCAGGGGAATCAGTTGTGTTGTTAGTTGTATATCAGAAACACTGCTTGTAATTCCATATAGAAGTAGTTGCACTACATTTCAAAAGTCTGTAAAAGTTTTTTTGTATGTTTTTGAAAAACATCTCTAATGCTCTCCAAGGCTGCATTTATTTATTCAAAAATACAGTGAAAACAGTAATATTGTGAAAAACTATTATACTAAATACTATACTATATACTAAAACTATTATCAGTAAAGTATTACTAGTATTTTTCTATTTTAATGTTTTAAAATGTAATTTATTCCTCTGATCCCCAAAGCTGAATTTTGATCCTTCATTCTAATATGTTGATGTGCTGATCAAGAAATGATTCTTATTATTTTCAATTGTATTGTACTTTTTTTCCCTTCGGGATTCTTTGAATAGAAAGGTCAGAAAAGAACAGCATTTATTTTAAATACTTTTAAATAAACCAGTGACAATGACAGTACCTCAGCAGTTGTCTTTCGTTATGGGATAAAATTAGAGTTTAACTCAGCACTCTTCTCTCCATCAAAAATCCAATAGCAATCAGCCTCGTCCTTGGTACCCAAATCAGCCTGCATTTAGATATTGATTGACCGTCGTGAGGACCACTCCATGTTTTAACTCTTGATTATCCAGAGATGATAGAGGCATCACCTGCGACTTCTCCATCTCTCTGAAGTGAGAGAAGCTGATTTGGAGTGTTCTTTTAAGTACAACGTCTTTCAAAGTTTGTCTCCAGGGCAGAAGCTTTCGTTTTCTACATACCTGATGAAGTGTTGTTCATTATTGTTTGATGTTATTGTTGGTAATGAAATTAAATGAGACATTTAAGCAGTGCTTAAGTCTTATTAAGATGCCTATTGAATGTTTCACTGGAAAGGTATTTTAATTGTTCCTTGTGGAATTCTCTAACTGGCATAGTCCTGTATTATTGAACGCTCTGTATTGCACTGTATTGATCTTGTGTATCAATGTCACACCTGCAGATGCTCATGATTGCTCGCACGCTTTCATTCAGTGACATCATATGCAGTCTGATTACAGATGAGAAGTCGGTATTGAGAAATATATTGATGTGACCTTCAGAAGTACTTCTGACCTGGTCCGTGTCATCTCCTCCTATATGCACAAGCAAGGAAAATTGTGCACCATGTGCACATGATAGATAAACTGTCTATCATAGAGGTAAAATAAGCAGTGTGCCATCGGTTATGGATGGGATTTTCTATGAAGGTTGTGAATTCTGCTTTTAGGGCAACCAGACAGTCAGTCGAATGGAGAAATTACAGGGAATGCTTCATTAATTAAACTCCACCACTGGAATACTGATGCTCAAGCAATCAATGGCAAAATAATTGCTTGTCATGCATGTTGTGGCAAGAGAAATTTCCTTCCAATCTTTGCAGACATTTGATTAGCCAGGTCCTCCCAACTTTTTTATATGGAACAAATGAATTATTCAACCACCTGTTTCTGTCTGTGCTGGAAAACAGCCAAAGTGCTGTCAATGGCCTCTCTCTCTCACTTTCTGTCTCTCTATATTCTTTTTTACACGTTCTCCTCTTCTCTTTTCGTAATCTTTTTCCTTCCTCTTTATCTCAACATCCCTGCATACTGCTTCACAGTGTGCGTGTGTGTGTGTGTGTGTATCAGGGTGCTTTTTGGTTTTTCTGTTTTCAATAAATATCAGTCACTGAACTTTCTGTGAGTCATGTCACTTAAGCTGTCAGTCACCACTTTTAATCTTAAATCTGAGATTTTGACAAAGAAAACTGACATCTTATAAAGTATAACGTATATTACTAATGTATCATACTTTCCCCCCTCTTTTTTTCATCTCTTTTTACTACAGCAACTGATGAGGGAAAGGCAGCAGATGGCCAGTCGCCCTTTTGCCTCGGTCGCGGTGACACTGGATGTGGGTGGCACTCAGATAGAACTGCTTCAGGGTGGAATCGAGGTTAGTTTGACCTTTAAACTTTGAACCAGTTAGGTTTACTTGGCTACCATTACTCAGTGAAATGTTTGCCAATATACTGTATCAAATATCTGTGTGGAACGGATTTGTGTGTACATATGGCTCTGAAATAAATGTTCTTCCCTCATTTGAAACCACAGTTTTTCTAATCAGCTACTATTTAATTTAAAAATTAAAACAAGTAATAAAAGTTCAAGTAAAATAAAAAAAGTCTTCTTCGATATAATCTAGAGGAATGTTTTTATCACTGTGTGTATATATATATAATGTACCTAACCTTCAGAACCAGCTTAATGAGGTTTCCAGTCTAAATAATGAGCAATACCAAGCAGAAACCGTTTGCAGTTTGACAGCTCTAATTTAAGTGCATCGCGATTCGTGGCTGTTACACAACAGACTCGCACGCAGACCTGTGAAAGCAGATGTACCTGCCGCTCAGCAGAGACGTTCAAAACACACGTCCAGTAGCACTTGATGTGCCTCTCCAGAATCCATTAGTGTAGAGTGGAATGGTGCTCAGTGAGCATTATGGGCTGTTGGAGGACACGCCACAAATGAAGAGAGCAGAAAACAACATACTCGTCAATCCTCCAGCTGAACGCTGTTCATCATGGATCTTTTTAAACAAACTTTAGCTTCACACTTACGAGCGCATGGCTCTCATTTATGGGGACATCAGCCTTGTGATAAGAGCCACTTAAGTTCTGTAAAATTGCGTCCACGAACCAGCTGTTGAGAATTGAAGTTTGCTAACAGAAGTTGTTTTGATAATCAACATTTTGGCTTCAGATGGTAAAGTACCTGCATATCTTATTTTTCTTATTTTGCACACTGTACGGTGAGAGTCTGTTAGCTCAAAAGCTCCTTACTTTACTGAATGTACTCTCAGAACATGTCATTCCTTTTCTGAGATACTGTTGAGTCTCATCACTTTTTAAAGGTGCTGTATGTAGAATTGACCCCGAGTGGTTGAACTAGGTATTGCAGTCCAAATTAAAAATATTGGAGAGGGTTTTTTCACCCGGACCCTCCTCCTCAGACTTGACGCATACACAGGTTGCCAGATTGACAACACCAACAGGAACGAGCGCACTTGACGATGAATTAAATGAAATACGCTGTGTTTTCTGCCAACTGGCAACCCTGGGTGCCGAAATTACAATTGGTTAAACTAGCAGTGGGCGGGTTTCACAAACCAAAACAGAGACCGACATTCCGGCCCGGAACGCACATTTTCAAAGGAAAATAACTGACTGTAGCATTGTTTTTCAGATAAACAAATAGGTTAACTTAGCATGTTTCTTAAATATCTACAAACATATTATGGTATTTTTATGCTTTAGTTGAGTCAAAAACTTACATACAGCACCTTTAGGTTCTGTCACCTTTGTAGTGGAAACAGAGACACCTTTTGAGACCGGATTCCTTCTGTTCACTTCTCAACCTCAGAGGTTTCATTTTGACCAGCACAAATCTTCCAAGCAGTTGCCACTAATGCACAGGCTCACCTCAGGAGGCCCATTATGAGCCGCCACCTTTCTATTTAATCTCAGAGCTCATTCCCTCAAAGCTTTGATTGCAATAGCATTTCAAGTTTGTATTCAAAATTAGCCAGGGACTATTTTAATGAAACACAATCAAACCCAAAAACAAATGCTCAGTAGTGGATCTAAATTCTCTGCCATTTTGTCCACAGTGGCTTTCTGAGCTTTTCTTCTCTACTATGTTTCTGTTGATTATTTTTAGCATTTGGAGACATCATGGTATGAAATCCTTAAGCATATATTTAGGTTTAGTCTTATGGCATATGTGGCCCCTCATATTGCTCTTCCCCAGCCTTCATCATGTGCTTGGTGATCAACATTGACACTTCTTGGAGTCTGTTGAGGCAGATCCAGATGTTGGCCCCACTATGCTGGGATCTGGCAGCAGCTGAAGGTGAAAGGAGGGAAATGAGAGCAATTCTGTTCTATAAAGGTTAATGAGACAGCATCTGGTGCTGTTGAATTGTTTAGCATAACCTGCTAATAAAAAAAGAGGACAATCCAGACAGTTCAGCATAGTAATATGTGCCTGTAGCTCAGCTTCTGTCTGTAGTTATCGCAGATTAGCTCACCCAAGACAGATGTTAATAGCAGATTTAACCAAGGTTCGTTTGAGCCGTTACTGTGCAGTAGCTGTGAAGTTTATAGGCCCATTGCAGTATTATTAATAGTAAAAGAGAATTATGACAGAAATGTATTAGTGGATTAGGATATGACATGGATTTGAACCTACAAATCTAGCTTCAGTGCCACAACTCAGTACTGCATGTCTATCCAAAAATCCATTTAAGTGTTTACTCACCACTTTGTGTGTGTGTGTGTGTGTGTGTGATCTAGACGTTTTCAGGAAATTAAAAAAATAGGCTGAATGTCTGTTTTTCATTAAATTATTATTATATAACGTCTTGTCTATCATCTCAGAAAATATCTTGGTAAAATTCACTTGTTTAGTGCAGAAAATAATGTGTTTTTCTCTATTTTGCTAATGCACACACACACACATACATATATATATATATATATATATATATATATATATATATATATATATATATATATATATA